CAGCCAGAATGCCAACTATGCCTGCCCTTTCCTCCCCCCTCCTCCATTCAGAGAAGCTTTGATGAACAAAAAGCACTTTATGAATGGAAGACAGGGGAATGAAAGATCTTCCTCCTCCATTCATAAGGGGAGGAGAGAGAGAGGAGAGAGAGAGAGAGAGAGAGATCGTAGGAATGAAGATTTCAACTAACTTTCACTTCATTGTCCCTTGTGCTGATATTTTTAAAACAAGGTTTTGACTAAGCCTAGGCTTTAACACAAGGCATGTTAACTTGCAAAATACTCCACACTGAGGGGCATGTGGAAATAAACCGAGAGGTCTAAGGGGGGCTCCTACTTACAGGCTTTCAATTCAATTCTGAATTTTAATCAGAGAAACGCACAAGAAGGAAACTGCAGCATGAAGTCTTCTTGCACATTCATGCGCACAGTGTTCATGTCAGTGAATGAAAATGCATCGGCTGTAGGACACACCTGCACAGCCAAGGTTGACCAGTATGCAGGGACAGGTGCATGGAGGTAGAGCCTGTGCATCCAGGGCCATGAATCTGTCCCTGCTTTGCAGCACTAACTCACTAACGACCTACTAAACGCCAAAGCCAAGGGCGACTACTCTGTCCTCCTTCTCCTGGACCTCTCTGCAGCCTTTGACACAGTCGACCACCCCCTCCTCCTAATAAACTACTCTCCCTTGGCATTAGAGATACTGCTCTCTCCTGGTTCTCATCTTACCTATCCCGACGCTCCTTCAGCGTCACCTACAATGGGGCCACCTCCCCCTCCCTCCCCCTCTCTGTTGGGGTCCCCCAAGGCTCTGTCCCTGGACCCCTTCTCTTCTCCATCTACACCTCCTCCCTGGGCACACTCATACACTCCCATGGCTTTAATTATCACCTCTATGCTGACGACACCCAAATTTACCTCTCCACCCCTCTCCTCACCCCCACTATCTCCGCCCGCATCACTCACCTCCTAAACGACATCTCAGACTGGATGTCGCTCCATTTCCTCAAGCTTAACCTCTCCAAAACCGAATTCCTTCGTCTTTCCCCCTGCCCCACACCCCCCCCCCCCCCATCCTATCTATCACCACCACCAACACCACTATCATTCCCGCCCCGCAAGCCAAAGTCCTTGGCGTCATTCTTGACTCGAACCTCTCCTTCCTGCCTCATGTCAAATCACTTACAAACACCTGCAGGCTCCATCTCCGCAATATCGCATATTGCCAAGATACGTGCCTTCCTCACCCCAGACACCACCAAACTTCTTGTACACTCCCTCATCATCTCACGCCTTGACTACTGCAACTCTCTTCTCACTGGCCTACCCAAGTGCAGGCTCTCCCCGCTCCAGACCATCCTGAACTCAGCGGCCAGACTCATCCACCTCACCACCCGCTCCACCTCTGCCACCCCCCTCTGCCTCTCCCTCCACTGGCTCCCGATTGCCCAACACATCAAATTTAAACTTCTAATCCTGACCTACAAAGCCGTTCATAACACTGCCCCTGACTACCTCACCAACCTGATCCCCAAGTACCACCCTACCCGTACCCTTCGCTCCTCACAGGACCTCCTTCTGTCTTGCTCCCTGGTCTCCTCCTCCCATGCACGACTGCAGGACTTCTCCAGGTCCCCCCTATCCTCTGGAACTCACTGCCCCAATCCATCCGACTGTCGCCTTCCCTCCCCACATTCAGGCGCTCCCTCAAAACCCATCTCTTCAGGAAAGCCTACCCCACCCTCACCTAACGGCCATTCTCCCTCATTCCTCCCACCACTTCATCCCCCTCAGCCACATCCTATTGTTCCACTACCCCCTCCCTCCTAGATTGTAAGCTTGAAAGAGTAGGGCCCTCTTACCCCTCGTACGCTGTCTGTTTTTTGTTGTACTGTGCCATGTATTGTCCCCCTATTGTACAGCGCTGAGCAAACCCTTTGGCGCTATATAAACTCGATGTAATAATAATAATGCAGCACAAATCCAACACACACACACAGGAAAGGTGAAATCCCCTGACCTTTTTGCCATCTGTATCCCACTGGTGAGATTCCCCTTCAATTTCTGTCCTGTTGACCCAAGAAAGTGAGGCAAAATGCCCTAAGAGTTGCCACCAGAATTATATATATATATATATATATTTTTTTTTTTTATTATGCGCCAACAGTTTGCTCAGCGCTTTACAATATAACGGGAGACAATACAGCAATAACAATACAAGAACAAGAGGGATAGGTTCCACTATGTGTATATATTTTTTTTTTTCCACTAATGGAACTGTTGACTTCTAATGCTGTTCTGGTGACAACTATAAATGTTGCATTTTCTGTTCACACTCTTAGCCCCAGTGATAGTGGTCACCAGGACAAATAGAGGGGATGAATATCCCAAATGAGGACCCAGGCAGAGATATGAACCTGACAGGTGTCAGGCAGTTACACTTTAACCCCCGGTCACATCAAGCCCGACTTTGAAATCATGCAACTTACAGTGAAATCGCACGATTTCAAAGTCGGGTGAGATGCAGATTTCCAGTGCGGTTTGCAAGATATCTGACACAGATGTCTATGCAAATCGCACCAAAAGTAGTGCATGGTCTACTTTAGAAATCAGTGCGGCTCCGACCAAGTTGTAACCACACCGATTTGACCGCTGTAATTGCGGACAATAGGGTGCGACTTCGCATACGATTTCCAGATCGCATGCCAAGTCGCACTCAATGTGACCGGGGTGTAAGGGGTTATGTACAGTCTATAGTGATATTCACTGCAGGTTAAGGTGCGGTGGCTTCAACACACATCCTTCAACATGGGACAGGGAATGCAGATTTCTGCAAATCACTTGGTCAGAGTCAGCCAGGCCTACAACCTGTGTGAATCAAGTATGTTCCTTATTACCACTTGCCTACCGGGCACTTATACCCCCTTCCTTACCAGGCCAATTTTCAGTTTTCAGCGCTCTTGTACTTTGAATGACAATTGCGCGGTCATGCAACCTTGTTCTCATATGAAAATTTTCACCATTGTTTTCCTCACAAATAGAGCTTTTTTTTGGCGGTATTTACTCACCGCTGGGTGTTTTATTTTTTGCACTATAAACAAAACAAATTTGAAAAAAATATTGCAAACAGGTAATTTTTCTCTCCTTCACTGATGGGAACTGATAGTCGGCACTGCCGGGCACTGACTGGCGGCACTGCTGGGCACCGATCATCAGTGCCCTGATGATCGGTGCCCTGATGATCGATGCCGATCCCTGCTCTGACAACTGCTGGTTCTCGGCAGTACTTTCCTCACACTCTGACAGCATGAGGAAAGTGCAGCCGAGAACCGGCAATTGCATTTCCCGGTAATCAGCGTGTCATTGGACACGGCTGATCACGTTGTAAAAGGCCTCTGTGATTGGCCTTTTACCCCATCACATGATCATCTGTGTCCGTAGGACACAACGATCACGGAGAATGCAGAGTGCGCGCCCCCAGAGCGCGTTCTGGGAGGACGTCATATGACGGCCTCCCAGAACTGGCCGGCCGCAGTGCAGCTGTCATTCGGCTACCTGCAGTTGGGAACTGGTTAAAAGGAAAGAAGTGACCATCCTGGTGTAGACTGAAGCAAAGGAGGCACAAACATTGCAAATGACTGCATAAACATTTTACCCTTAAGCCGGCCATAGATAGTTCGAACCTCGGCCTATTCAGCAGGGACCGGCCTAGAATTGAACCATCTATGGGCAAGCTGATTGTACCCAAGTCAATCGATGGATCAACTTGGGTACAATCAGCATGTGGGATTTTTACGCGAAATTATTGCAAGCGGCTATAGCCGGATCGGAGCAGAAGCTGCTCGTCTGAAAGCGTTGGATCATGCTTTGCTGGGTTTTCTTGCCTTCCTCTGGATCAACTGTGTGTATTATAACTTTTTTTTTTTTTAATGGGTGACCTGGATGGACTTTTGTCTTTTTTCAGCCAGACTATGTAATTGGACTATGTAAAAAAAATTTGAAAGGGGCCTTCTAATGGCCATGGCAGGTAAGCAGGCCTGTGGACTGAAGTGTCTCTGGGAGATAAACATTTATATGAGTTTGCCTACCAGGAACTACTAAAGACATAAAATGTGTCAGTTATGTATAAGTTAACCCTTTAACCTCCCTAGCGGTATGATTATTTCATATTTTTAGTGCTGAAAGTGGTACAATTATTTTGCATGGAAATATGTAGTTTTTTTTTTATTGTAGGCTGTAATTTTTAGGAATAACTCACTGAAATCTGTCTGAACAAGAGTCTAAATCATACATTTAATTCAATAATATAATCAAACCAAAAACACTGAAATGTGAAATATAGCGCCAAGTTCGCACATCACTGAGCAAAGTCGCAGAATCGTTTTCAGTGTCTGATGATGAATTTCCCCCACGAGTCATTATCACTCAATTCTGCAAGTGGTTTTGATTTACTATCGCTGTTCTCTAGCTGATCTAAAACCGCTTTTGACCTAAAGAGACACTTTTTGGACGCCATGGACTTTTCTAAGTTTCCAGGCAGAAAGAACAATCAAAATGCAGACAGGGGACAGGACAAAGCACTCGGGACAAAATGTATGTGAAATGGGTTGAAACAGCAATATTTTACCATGTAAAATCGTTTTGAAAAAAAATGACTTTTTTAAAAATTTTCAAATTTCCCTCCGCCGGCGGCGCCCGTACATCCCGACGTCACAGGGACCGGAACACAGAAGCCGGATGCCGGCATCGGCCGGAGGAGATGGCCGGGGACGCTGCAGGGGACACATTGCGGGAGCGAAGGACAAGGTAAGTGCTGCAGGGACTCCCTATGCAGCGCCGCATGGCAAGCCCGAGTGTAGCTCGGGGTTACCGCTTTTGGTACTGACATTTTACCCCGAGCTACACTCGGGAATACCGTTAGGGAGGTTAATAGGAAGCCACATTATCCTGTCACCCTCACAACACTTTATATGCAAAAACCATGCAAGCAAACTTACCTGTCTTTTTATTTTTATCCACGTAGCAATATTTGATCTCGTAGTCTTTTAATAGATCTTGGATATCCTAAGAGAGAAGGAAAAAAGAAAACAGTACACTTAGAATAAATAAAAAAAAAACAACTCCATCTGTGATAGAGAACAGATACTGCTGATGAGACATATGGAATGGAGCTGGTGTTTACTTAAGAAATTGCTTCAATGTCAAGTATTTATACAGACACAGCTCCTGCAAACACTTCTCACACTGGAAATGAGATACAAAACATTTTGTTTCATTCTTTAATGAAGTGAAAGTGTTTTTTTTATTTTCGACAAAGCTGCTAAATTGTGCGCTTAATGAGCAGTCCCTCCCCAACACCGAAAAATGCTGGATGGATTCGGTGTTCTGCCTTCAGCTGCAGGATCCATTAGATGGTCATCCCACACTGCTTGCTCTTCATGCCGCTATTAATAACACGTATCGATTCAAGTAGGATGCAGCTATCAGAAGAGTTTCTCAATGGAGAAAAAGGAATTCAGGGGGGGGGGGGGGGGCTGAGCTTGGACTACCATGAACCTGTCCACGACTGACCTCCTGTTAAGTTCCCCTTGGTCTCAGGGTTCAATATTTTTTTAGATTCACTGGCCCAGAACCAGCATGCAGCAAGTAAAGCCAGAACTCCTGGGCCAAATGTTTATTTTAAATGCAGGAAAAATAAGTGAGCGCTAGGTAAAATCAACACTGACAGCAGCTGTACACCAAAAAAGGCACCATATAAGACCTTTCAAAGGACACACATACAATACAAAAGGGTGCAGCGCTCCTGGAATCTATAATACATGAAACTAATAAATACTATGTTAAAGTGATCATGTGCAAAAAAATATATACGCTACTAATTAATAGTGCTGGAAATCAGCTACCTGGTAAGCTGAACCCCTATGACTACGAGCAGTAGCTCGAAACGCGTCAGGGCAGAGCTAAAGCAGGTGTGGCGCCACGGTGGCCATCCTGCTTACGTTTATGGTCAGTAATCCTTTATTTTACTCCTATCTGTACCGCTTACCTGTGAACGGAATAAACATCCTAAAATACTGCACTATGTGGGCGCCTTTGTTCTTTTGAGCTCCTTTGGGAGCTGACTACACAGAGCAAGCTACATCCATTGCCAAGGTGATCCTCAGGTGTGGCAGTGTCATCAGGGAGTGTGGTATACAGTGATCAGATCTGACCAGATCCTTCTGATGATATTGGATGACCTGTGATCTCTACAGTTTATGCGCATTTGATTTGCGTATCTGGTGAGTGCGCAATCACATTATATCACCTGACCTACGGTCTCCGTCATAGGACATCCTTACATCACTTGGGATCCCACCCTCACCTCTTCTATGAACTTTTATATTTGATTTCTATTAATTAGTAGCATATATATTTATTTGCACATGATCACTTTAACATAGTATTTATTAGTTTCATGTATTATAGATTCCAGGAGCGCTGCACCCTTTTGTATTGCAAATGTTTATTTTAGGTTTGTAATTCAGAAACACAGCCAAAAGGATTGGCATGACAATCAGGCGTTTAGCTTCTTTTTTTTTTTTTTTTGCAGTTGGCAATGACACTCTCCATATTTCTCTTTTTTCCCCCCTACAAATCAGCAGTGGAGGTGGCATCCAATTTTACAGCTGAAATCAGGTAAAAATGCCATTTTAGTGCATGGACTTGGCTCCGGCTCACATTCTTGTGCAATTCACATGCGATGCGATTTGAGCACAATCATTTTGAATGGGCTCATATGGCACCGCATCGCACCAAAGACATGCATGTGTCTTTTCTGGAGCCCGCATTGCAACCGGATCGCATTGGTCATTTTGTACCATGCAAACCGGTACAACCTATATTTGGGGTGTTGTTAACTTTGTATTGACACCCGCATCAGATCGCAATTGTAGATTGCAATGCGGTGAGGGAAACACATAGGGATCACGGCGTTTCCTGCTACAAAGTGTGAACCTAGGCTATTACCCGAGTCTGAGATGTCAATAAATCCGTACAGAACTCAGGCACAGGTCTGCCCAAACTAGGAGCTATCAAGTATTTTTCAAGCGCACATGTACTCTTGAACGTACAGGCGTACCTCGGTTTACAAATTTAATTTGTTCTGCGGGACTTTTTTCGTATTGCAAAAAATTTGTAAACCGAAACGCGGTTTCCCATAGGAATGCATTGAAAACCAATTAATCTGTTCCGGAGGTCACAAAGTTATTAAAAAAAGTATTTTATCTGTTGAAAACTTTTTATAAAGTCACTTTAAAAGGCATAAATACTGTACAGGTACATAATACAAATTAATTCATAAATGCAGTGAAAACCAATTAATCCGTTCCGGAGGTCAGAAAAAAAAAAAAAAGAAAAAAAAAAGTTTTATCTGTTCAAAACGCTTTATAAAGTGCACTTTACAGGCATAAATACTGTACAGGGACAGGATTAAAAATTAATTCATACAGTGGTACTGGGTCCCGGCTCGGACTGCTCACTTTAACTAGTTGCCGACCGCAGATAGCCGAATGACGGCTGCACTGCGGCCGGCAAGTTCTGGGTGGACGTCATATGACGTCCTCCCAGAACGCGCTCTCCTGCGCGCCCCAGGGGCTGCGCACCTGGCGATCTCCGTGATCGCTGTGTCCTACGGACACAGCTTATCACGTGATGTGGTAAAAGGCCAATCACAGCGGCCTTTTACCACATGATCAGCGGTGTCCAATGACACGCTGATCACAGGGAAATGCAAGTGCCGGTTCTCGGCTGCACTTTCCTAACGCTGTCAGATCGTGAGGAAAGTACTGCCGAGAACCGGCAGTTGTCAGAGCGGGGATCGGCACCGATCATCAGGGCACTGATGATCAGTGCCCTGATGATCGGTGCCCAGTAGTGCCACCCGCAAGTTCCGCCCACCTGTGCCCAGCAGTGCGCCCACTAGCTCCGCCCACCTGTGCCCAGCAGTGCACACCCACCTGTGCCACTCTGCAGTGTCACCCACCTGTGCCACTCTGCAGTGTCACCCACCTGTGCCCCAGAAGTGCCACCTACCTGTGCCCAGCAGTGCCACCCACCTGTGCCCACCAGTGCACCCCAAGTGCAGCAGTGCTGCCAGTCAGTGCCCAGCGGTTGTGCCAGTCAGTGCCGTCTATCAGTACCCATCATCAGTGTCACCTATCAGTGCCGCTCATCAGTGCTGCATATTAGTGCCGCCTATCCGTGACACCTCATTAGTGCTGTCTATCAGTGCCACCTATCCGTGACACCTCATTAGTACTGCCTATCAGTGCCCTTTAGTGCTGCCTATCAGTGCCCATCAGTGCTGCCTCATCAATGCACATCAGTGAAGGAGAAAAAATTACCTGTTTGAAAAATTTTATAATAGAAACAAAGAAACTTTTTTTTTTCACATTTTTTGCACTTTTTTTATTTATAGCGCAAAAAGTAAAGCACCCAGTGGCGATTAAATACCACCAAAAGAAAGCTCTATTTGTGAGAAAAAAATTAGCAAAATTTCATATGGGTACAATGTTGCATGACCGCGCAATTGTCAATCAAAGTGCGGCAGCGCTGACAGCTGAAAAGTGGCCTGGTAAATAAGGGGGTATAAGTGCCTGGTAGGCAAGTGGTTAATCCAACTGGCGGAGATAGGCGTTTCCGGAACAGTGGTCTACGTGGGGACGTTTTGCACATTTGGTGGTTGTGCTCGCGATTGATAGGCTTCAGGTCTAGGGTTTTCGGTTTGCTTCATATTACGGTCCGTAGGGATGCAAGGGTTGCCCTCCTGCACTGCCCAAATTTTGGGTCTGTCTAGGTCTCAGCAGAAATTGGCATCCTACCTATTTATTTCGGCCGAATGTGCTATAGCTCAAGCTTGGAGAACCCCTTCGGTTGTCTTCCAGGGGGTGAAGACCCGGATGAATGCTATGTTGATCAATGAACAGAGGTCTAGCATTCTTCATGATTCTCATCCGAAATTCCTTAAGGTTTGGGAACCTTTGATACGCTATTCCTTGCCTTCTACTAGTTATGGCCTCTTATAGTCATTGCCTGTGCTGGCCCTGGATCCGTGATTCTTCTAGTTTTCCTTTCCTCCATGTTTTCTTTCTGATTCTTCGTTTTTTTTCTCTTTTCTTTTTCTTTCTTTTTTTTTTCCGGTAATATGATGGATTGCTGCTGCTATTATTTGGTTCGGCTTTTTGCCATCCCTCCTTGATGTCATTAAACATTCCCTTAATTGGCTAATACAAGTCAGCAGGATGTATCTAATTACATGTTATTGTTCTGCTCTGCCCCTGCGTTGGCGTATCTTGAGCTGCTTGTATTCTTAAAACAAAAAACTTTAAAAAAAAAATATCGAAACAGAAAGATTAATTCATAAATGCACTGAAAACCAATTACTCCGTTCTGGAGGTCAGAAAAAAAAGTCTTCTGTTCAAAACTCTTTATAAAGTGCACTTTACAGGCATAAATACTGTACAGGGACATGATTAAAAAAAATAAAAATTTGTAAATGCATTGAAAATCAATTAATCCGTTCGTATTGCAAAAAAAAAAAAATTGTAAACCGAGACATTATTTTCAATCGTAAACCGAAAATGACGTTAACCGAGGCGTTCGTAAACCGAGATACACCTGTACACTATTTCTGTACTGAGACATACAAAAACATCCATATACTGTAGTAACCAAGCTCTGGCAGCAACATTTTATTGCACGTTCAACTTCGACCAACCTCCTGGTTACCTTTGAAGTGGACCTAGCGCCATATATTTTTTCCTCTTGAATTCATGCATGTCAAGTAATTTGTAAGTGTAACACTTCCAGGTATTTGTTCCATCTCACAGAGATCACAATATTTTCTCTGAATATACCTTAATTTCCTTTTCTCCCCAGAAGGACGGAACCATCTTTACTAAACCATCACCCAGATTTGCCACCTATGCCTTGGACCAAGATACTGACAAAGAGAGGACAATCATATGAATCTTGCTACCTGTGCAGGTCCTGGCTGTGTTCACAAATGCCTGGACACAGATCAG